TATCAACAAAAATTCGCAAAATTTTAGATTATGTATGTGTTATCCATGCTTGAATCCAACTTGTAATTTTTCTTGTAATTTTAACGAAAGGGTTTCCAAATTTCTACATGGGTTCCAAAGAAACTTCCAAAACTACACAAATTTGATTTGGAGATCTTGATCATGTGCACTCACTGACTCTAACTTCAAGACCATTGAGATTTAGTAGCGATCACTTGACCTCTAGTAGGGAAAACTTCCTCAAATTTAATTTAGAGGTTTACTTATAATTAGTACATATATTTAAACCATAAAATAAATACCATAAGCCGAAATTAATGAGAAGTAAAACCGAGCCGTGATAAAATCCTGTTCAATGTTTGTTAAAAAATGTTTACTAAGAATTATAGTGTGTATTTATCACTCTACATGCTTGAAAAGATATTCAACTGAGCTATGTGAAGAACTAAACTCTCTCTCGTAGTCGCCAATCGCCCAAGGGGTCCAAGCTGACCACCCTTCTCAAAAGTGGGTGATGCGCCCCCTTCCAGCCAGTGATGGCGCGACCTTCTGACTTCCCAGTTGTATTGTATTTTGTCCTAGCAAAATAAATATTCATCTTACAAAAAGATCAAAATCAAATTTTGTGAAAGCTTTCTCTTCTCTCTGCCCACACGACGTAGAGATGGAGTAGACCTGGATATTGTCGTGCGCTCCGCTCCGCTTAGAGGTTCCGACTTGTCGAAGACGTCTGGAGCTCTAGCCAACTGGAAGCTTTTGCCATGTTTCACTCTCTCACCCTCACTCTCACTAGTGAGTGAGTCCTGATCCACATTTCGATCAATGGGAAAGGTAGACGTATGGGCTGCATGGCGACTAATAATTTCATCGGTAGTTGTATCGATCACTCCCTCCTGCTCTACATACTCTATACATTTCTTGCTGTAACATGCAAATGAGGAGAAAGATTATCCGGTACATCACAGCAGTATGTAATAGCACTTTAGCGCGTCGACCGTTCGTCGTTACAATCCTTGTTCACAATGCATGCATCTGTAAGGATGTCAGCAGCTAGTTTAGAGGGACCCTCGTGCATCATTAGAGCATAACATGTACTGACTCCATGATAACTCGAGTCTATATAGAATATCCCAGAGTGGATACGTATTGTGGTGCAGCCCCATCACCTGTCCATCAGAAAGAATAATAACTCCACATGCCTAGATGTCCACTTCGCAAGCTCCTTCATACCTTAATGTACTTATCTGTTAAGAATATACATATGGTCGGAATAATAAAAGTCGAGAGCCTTTTCCCTCTTAGAGCTCTACTCGGTTCTACTCATTAGAACCTTTGGGAAAAACATTTTGTGATGAAGAAATAAAAAACGAATTGTGATGGAAATTGTACAACCCAGATGCATAGAGCATTAGATCACCCAAGAAAAACCTAGATGCTAATAATCCGTATCAATCTCCACATTTGAGAGAGAATCATGCGGATCCCCAAGTAGATAAGAGAGAAGATGAGATCTCGCTCTTTAGACTTTGGGTGCTAGACTGGTTTCCTAATAACCACACTCAGACAACTAGATACCGGGCCTGAGGAAAATCTACAACACTGATCTTCTAGCCATGTTGACTCTGTTGCTATGCATGCGTTTCGTCCTATCTGTATTCCTCGACTGAAGCTCCTGATCTTCATTCTTTGGAGCCGTATCGATCCAAAACGAGCTGTGGTTGAATCGGTCATATGTTCCTACTGCTCTATCCAAAGCATCTCTAGCACGGCCAAGGTGTTAGTTGAACCGTACTTCCAATGTCTTCCATATTTGTATCTACTTTCTTAACTGGTTGCCCTGTATTGAGCAGAAATATTGATATAGTCGATGCTGAGGACGGAAAGTACAGTTCAAGAATAAGCAGAGGGAAAGAAATAGCACAGTATCTGGTCATCAGCATAGATCAAGTCAGATGAGAGTGCGCTAATCAACTGACAATGATTATTGTAATGCATGGGAATTACATGCAATCTTTCGCATCTGCCAAAAATACATTGTGCTTAGCAAGTGGAAGTGTGACAATTCCAAACCTGCGTCATCGAATGTCCTCCTAGCCCATGGACTGATGATTTCTTCGCTACGTTTCCACGCTTACCTTGGGATAGCTTTAGGGTTAGGTTAGTCTGCTAGCCTCGCATCTTTCAGCATATAAAACATCAAATCAAACTGAGTTTTCGAGCAATAGGAAACTAGATGTCACGGGTAACGAGCCGCACTGGTAGAGATCATAATCACAGTAGTTGGGCACAAAATCAATCATATGTTGTTGCTCTTAGATACTCGTTTCAGTTTAACCGTCCTGATTCTCGGACGAAATATGATAGATTCAACTTCGTTCATTCGGTGGAAGCATTGCTTGTACAATGTCTATAGGAAGATGTAATGATCACCAGCCGAAAGAATTGCTTCTCATTATGTTCGCAACACTGATAGTAACCCAAATTAGAATGTTCAAAAAATGAGGACGACATGAACCACCTAATTCGACGACGGTAGATGGAAAGTGATGTAAGAATATGGAATCAATAGTAATCAAATAGATCCCGTCCTTGACAATTGTCCACCAAACTTACGGTCGGATTCTCAAATTCCCAGGCATGTTACTCATTTTGGCATCACCACCACCACCACCACCACGAGTGACCTACGTAACATGTAACGCAGAATCTCGATCGACAACAAAAAAACAATCATTAAAACAAAATTTCAAATTTTTTCCTTAAGACTCACGGTTTTTTACAAAGCAAAAATCATCATTATCTTGCTCTTTTAAATTGTTGCACATGGTGCAGAAACTCATAGTAACATGCTTTTATTATAGCTTCAACATGACTTTTCTCTACTTGATGTTTGTCAACACTTGTGGACGCTGATTGAGCTGGAAACGGTTACGAAAACATGAATCTACAGTATATCAATGGAGATGAACACGGAAGGTAGTGCAACCCTACATGAACCTTGACAACAAAATCCCCAGATTATCAAACTCATCATATGTCAACCATTATTAGATACATAATGGGCGGAGTTGAATTAAGTAGTGTAAAGATGATATGATTGAACTCATTTTGGGAAACAAAACTAATGTATTGGATGTTTAGACAGTAGCACTTTTCGTTTTAGACAAATAATGCAAACTTTTAAATACGTGATCGTATATATCAAAATATGAAAATAAATCTCTCCTACGGAATTAAAATGAATACATTCATTAGTACATTGAATGTAAAAATACATTCTTGAATAAATACTTTCATGAATGTATAGTATTCAAATTTTTTCAGCAGAAAATTATCAGGTGTTGAGTTGCATTGAGGGATATGGATTCTGACATACACAGTTTTCATCATGCCAAGGATACGGTTTATAATAATCTTATATACAAATTTTCATGGCCAAAAAATCACGGGTGAATTTTTTTTTACAAAATTCAAAAATTTGAATATGTGTTTCTTCATTTATAAGTATACATACCACAGTAACATGATAAAAACATACAAATCATAAACTCTGATCGCAGCCAAAGAAAAAACTTTGGAGTTCAATCTCCTCATCATCAAACGCATCTTCGATCAACTATTCTTTGATACATTAAGACTGGATTAAACTTTTATAGTTTTTTAGATAATTGGAATATTATAGAAATCAACTTTCTTCTGTTTCTTATTAACGTGTATAATCATAAAGAAATTATATGAATTTTCTTGTTATCTACAAAGGCTCTCACTATAATACTATGCGTTTATAGTGCGATCTTCTATACTTATACTTAGGATATCAATAATGATTCTTTTATCACATTTATTTTGTTCGAAGCCTTGAGAAAAGGCGGGCATGTATTTAATTATTGATTCATAGGTATTCGAAAGACCTTTGCACTTTCCATATATAGGCAGACTTTTACAACTTTTCCGTGAGGATCACCATAATGACCCTCATAGACATTCTATAGAAATAAAAGTAAATGCCCTTAGTTTTGAGATGCAAAAGAAAAAGGGAATGACGGAGTGAAGCAGTGGCTGAGTAGGAAGATTTTTATTGTGAATTATTAACACTTTAGACGCAAAGGACTGCAATATCCAGGGAGCATACCAGTGTACTCACTGGAATGTACAACATACGTCATGTGGATTTTGATCCTACGCATAGTGAAGAATAAGACGAAGATACAAAATTCTATTTATAGAAAAAACATCAGAGAGATAGAATTACTCCACGGACGTCACACACGACTGCTATCTTTAAGGAATTAGGTCATAACTGTAAAGTCTCATCTCTTAGATACTGAAACATATTACAACCTTTGTAATAAAAGTGTGCAAAGTATTAATTTCTTATTGATTTCTACCCGCCATGATAAAATAAAACCCAGAGAACTTCGAATATTTCTTTTGCTAGTAAGTGGTTGAGATTAAGGTAAAATTATTTGATGACCCATGAAACTTGATCTGAAACTCACTATAACTTAACGTCTTCTGACGACATCAAAAGTTGCTAACTATGGCATCTTCAAGGTAAAGAATTAATTCATTGGCTTAATTTCGAATGAAAAATATTTAGCCAACACAAACTGGATATACAATGTTCAATTTAAGTGGTATTGGTTGTTAACCCAAAGAAGCTTGTTTGTTCAACTATGTATGTTTACAAACTTGATTACTCGTCCTGTCACCGTCTTACTTACATACATACATATAATATCAAAAAAATTCTTGCACAAGCGAACAATAATTCTGTAAATTAACTAGCCACTCCAGATATGGTTAGATCCTCGAATAGAGATTTTCGCGCTACAGATTTTTATGAAAGTATAGAAATTAGAGCAAAATTGTTTTAGTAATGGAATACTTCCATCGCGGAGATGTTGTAAGTTTCCCTCCATCCCCGCCATGTTTTGAAACCCCAAAAGTATAAGAATGTTGAGACACAATTTCTTTGAGATGAAGTAAGAAATATTTAGCTAGAATGTTCTTGTATAAATACATACACCAGGACGAGGTATACCCAAATCTCAAAGTAGTAAAGGAAAAAGTGCCAAAAAAGAGGTGGGAAATCACCTAAACAAAGGAGAGGCCCAGAAAGTCGAGAGGAAGCCTAGCCCAAGGGTGACGATCTAGTGGGGAGAGAGCTAGTGTCTCTTCGTGATACATCTCTATCTGTCCACCGGCACCTCTATTGTCGCCTCGAAGGAAGACGAGGCCGAAAGCTAGGTGAGGAGCCCTCGATGTGGCCTACAAGCAACTCACGAGTACAGGTGGAAGAAAAAGGTTCAGTATTGCTCGGGATGGTGGATCTCCGAGTAATTGTATAGAAGATCGTAAGTTAGTCTATTGCTGTGATGTGCACGACGAATATATTTACTGCTAAGGAAAAGAAAAATGTTGAAAAATGGAAGAAATCGTGAACACCTCCCATGAGCGAGTGAATGGTAATCATTGTGATAGTTGCCCCATGTTCCGTGAAATGAAGGCTGAAGGAGCGTTTTCCATCCATGGAAGACATGGGAGAGCAAAGAGGAGGTGGGGAAGGGAAGGGATGGGAGGGGAGCGTTTCGTATTGTTGTTTCTTGAGATCGGTCACAAGGGCGGGCACTCATTCCCTGACCATCATTGGCGATACAGCGACCAGTAGTTGGAAGCGAGGCTTGAAATCTGAAGCTCGAGCATAGTATCTATGACGACGAGGGTAGCGAGGAGGAGGAGAGAGAGAGAGAGCGGAACTTATTGGCCGGGCCGGCGAAAAGCGAGATCCACCTTTGTAACTCCAGCATCGACAACGGCAACAACAACAGACAGATCTGTAGACCAGACCAGTTACTCTCCAGATCGAGTCCATGTGCAAAGGGAGGAGGAGAAGAAGAGGTAACATAATGGTGAACAGCAGCAGGTGCGGCAGTGGGGAGGTTGAATGGGTGGAGTTCACCTACGAATGGGGAAGAGTAAATATGATAAATAATTAAAAATCCGGAACTGAAGGCCATCTCCGCGCCACCCCATTCTCATCTGGTATTTGCCTTTTGGGAGGGTGTTGGCAGATGACGAGTCCAATGATTTTGGTAGTGGAGACGCGCCGCCACAGCCTTTTCGCCTGATGACAGCTTTTCATCGTCAATCTATCTGTTCTATCTATCTCATCCCCAGGCTTTCTTTTACACATCTGGAGTGTATGTATGCATTCCTCTTGATGGGCGCTTTTCAGGCCCCGCCTCCCCCTCCACCCTCACTCTGTCCCACTGGAAGCGAATTCCTCGTGAGTCCGAGTCCCATGTGGCCCGCATTTACTCCCTCTTCGGCTCCGCCGCTTGCCTTTATGTCAACCCCCTCCATCTCAACTCCACCCGGCTCGCTTTAGGCCTCGCCCTTCTTCGAGCCGCATCTGTCTCCTCCCTCTCTGCGCTCTCTCCGTCTCTAGATCAGTCACCTGTTTTCGAGCACCTTCGCACGCACAAGATTTCCGGTCGTTTCGTCATCTCATTTCAAGATCAAGAAATCCAAATAAGCAGGCGACCTCGTGCTCGTTGCCACCCTTTCGTACGCTGTCGTTTGTCAACCCTAAACCCCAACCCCATGTCCCTTTATCGTTCTCCATCGTCTCGTCTTGCAAATCTCTCCAAATCTTGCATTTTGGAGCATCATGACGGTCGTCTCAGATCTGCATCTTCGAAAACGGACGTACGTGCAAGTTGTGAAGTGACAGTTTGGGCTGGATCCCCCGCATCATCAAAAGGCCCGCATTGAGACCCGATTAAATGGGCATTCGAGCCATCCATTTGTCCATCCCGTTGTATCTTCCTTGTCCGCTGGAAATGAAGTGGCGGAGCGAGGATCTCCGCCATCTATGTCCGATAACGAGCCGAAATGCTGCAGGGGCTCTTGACATATTTGCCATAAACCACAAATTGGTTGGAATTACTGTATACCTTTTCATTGAATGAGCTGTTTTGGAGGTTTATTCATCAATCGCCTCTTTGCAAGGGCTGAGCTTTATGACCAGCCGTCCTCGTATTGGAGATTTGGATAACCATTAAATTCGACATATCTGTGTCGAGTCAGAGAAATCTTTTCATCTACGGAATTAACTCTTCCCTCAAGCTCGTCCCAAATGTCACAGTGCGTAAACATTCATAGCTCGGAGAAGTACCTAACCCCGGTTTAGCAGTCGGTCAGAACCACGAACGGGGCTCGGACCGGAGTTGATGGCACGCCCTGTTGACATAAACAGCAATAACGCTAACTCTGGTGAATCTCCCACCATCAATTTCTCTCAGATATAGTAGGTCCCAACCCAAGTCCGGTCAGGCGTGGGTAATCTAACTTTGGAGAATTCGGATGCTGCTTTCGAGGCGCCGCTCACTCCCTATAAATGTTACGCACCTGCTTTAGCAAAGTGCTCTTTTGGTGTCTCTGGCCCCGACACAAAGAGCTCGGCTCCAGAAGCTTTTTGCGAATTGATTTTTCGATATTTTGGCTTTGTTTCTTCAGTGGCAGGCAGCTCTAAGGGCCGCATCTCAGGGCCCTTTGTCCGCACTTGGAAAATATCATCCCCATTAACCGACCGGAGAGCTTTTACATCCGGCCTTCTTGTTTTAAGTGGCGCACTCGAGGGTACCGCCTGGGCCAGTGAGGTGCAAGTCTTCAACCTCAAATGCCCCGCGGTTAGGGCCGTGGAACTACGGCCGAGTCTATGGGTTTGGCCGGTTACCGTCCTCCGAGAGCGCACAGTCACCGCCGCCCTTCCGCTCTGCTCCGGTGCTCGGCTCTCGACATCCGCGCCGCAGCGGCAGCACCGAGAGTCCACGGGCGACCGCGGTGCTCCGGTGACCGAGCACCGGACGCTTCGGAACCGGCACTCCGGATCGTCTTACTGACGTCGCTGACTTCTGCGATTTCCAGTCCGTCGTTACGTCGAGGGAAGGTGAACCGCGGTCTCTTCCGATTTCTTTCGACCCTATGGTTTGTCTCTGGGTTTTTGTCTTTTCTCGGCCTCCAATTTGTCACGTTCCTCGTCCGCGAGACAGAGATTGAAATGAAAGTGCATTTCCATCTGGGAAAATACGGAATTTATGGGAAAGTATTTATTTGTGGGGGAGGGTGTGGGGGGGTGAGAAGTCCTTGACTTGCGGTTGCGTTGGGAGGACCCGGGCGCGGTAATGGACGGAGATGGCCGTTGTCTTAGGACGTCGGCATGCCATCCGGCAGGCGCGTCAGGACAGAGACCCTTTTTCGTCCGTGGCTTTGAAATATCATCTGCTTGCAGGCCAATGAACGTCGCGCTTTGGCGTCCAGAAGTTTTTGTGATTTATTTTTCATGGCAGGCTCGAAAGGCCTTCCGCGGGCGACACGTGGAATTTATGAGCCGAGGGAGGCTGGTCTTCCATGTCACAGGCGCGTCATTGGCAATCGAGCTTCTCCTGCAATAAAGAGGCGACCTTGTAAACTCGATGTTTCCGCCCAGTGGATGGTGAAAGAGCACGGGGCCCTCCAATTCTCCCCCTCCTCCTCCTCATGCCCATTAAAATAATCGAAATTCCCATGCCTACAGCTTTCTCTGTGTGCATGGTCTGGTCGTGAGCGATACACTTGTTCTCTTGTTCCTGGATCGGGTAACCCAAATCTTGATTCGCAATTATAAACGATTCATTACACATCTTTCTCGTGCGGTCGTAAGACTATATGACATCCATAGGGCAAGACTGAGTGGCATCACTTCATTTTGATGTAAACACGTCGATGCATTCCTCGTTACGATGCTGGTCTTAACATAGAACTGAGAGTGATGTCTTTTTCTCCTTCTGACTTCGACCTTCTTTTATAATTTACATGAAATTCGCACCATCTGTCCTTATAAATCATTGTGAGAGACATTGTTGATCCTATACATCTCCCAGATGGAGTTTTCGCCACTGGATTCCAGCTACCACTCAACTGAATTAAAATGGACGGCATGATTTGAGCACGGAAAGTGCAACACGTATAAATGCTGGATACTATGATATCTTTTACAAGATGACCGGCTCATTTGGACCATGCATGGACGATTGTTATGAAAGTTCAGAATTATTGATAAAAAGAACTACAATGACAGTGTTTATCACGAGATGAAATCGTATTTTTTCCATACGTTTAGTTATTGGAATTATGGCAAAGTAGCTAATTACTGCATTCAACGGAAAGCAAATGGAAAGATACGCGAACACGGTTATTTTCCCATAACGTATCCACCGGTTGGAAGCTCATTGAGGGGCTCTCATTATATTCATTTTCAAAGCTGTCCTTTGCTCCCGACGTAATAAATTTCGTCTATCATCAAATATCAGGGAAGAGTATACGGATGGAGCTGTAGATTATTAGCGTTTACAGCTTGCAGTTGCAACCTCTATATCTACCATTATAGAACTTAATAATAAGAACAATGATATTACCTTTTAGATTTTGCATGCTTTATTGATTGTTCTTTCAGGAGATAAGAAATTTCCAGTACAAAAAAAAATCCTCAGCCTCCTTTTTTTCATGTTTTATACTCAAAGCCAATCGACACATGCAGAGGGAGATCACAACCAAAAAATAAAGGAAGAAATCCAAATTTTCCAATAGTCTGAGGCTGAGGTCCGACGCGTAGATAACTTACTATTATGATAAGGAAAATCAAAGCAGTGGAAGAAATTCCAAGAGCTTCGCCTTGACAGAAGACATGATATCGCAAGTTTGACCTCAAGGCACAAATGATGAAAGCTGAAGGTATAATTTGGCCCTCTAACGTACCGGAAAGCTTTTGAGTTGTCCATGGCTCCCTATGGGGTGGCGTGATTTTTCTCCTGGTTCCAGAATGGGGGGAGGGGGGCATAATGATCACGATAATATCATAGTACTCCCCCTGGATTCACTTTCGCACCATAAATAACGGGAATAGAACGTACATTTGAGCAAAAACGTTATAGATATTGATTCAGAAGGCCGATAGGAAACATCGCTTTTCCAAATTTGCAAGGATTGAAGTCTCGGCACTCGAACGGGTTCGATTCATGCTGGAAACGGGGGGCACATTAATAGATTTAGAAATCGAAAGCTGGAAGAACTCGAGAACTCAGGAGGGGCGCTTCAGCGCCGGTTACATGTAACGGTTGCAATGCAGCCGATACCAGATCGCACTCTTCTAGTAGATTATGAGTGTATGCATGAGCAGGTCCGTATATAGGTACCGCAGAGATCGATGTTATCTTGCGCTTTCCTGCTAGCAAGAATGATCGAATTGCATTGCCCGCATCATTGCTGCTCGCACCATACAATGATGCAGGATATATTCTATGCTCGCCACTTCTGTCAACTCTCGAGTGCACCAACAGCAGCAAACAAACACATCGAGCGTAGGAGAGCGGCACACTAGTTCGAGTCGGGGAGCATCATTCATTCCGGTTGTTCATGGCTTCAGACACTATCATTTCTTCGAAGAAGGTCACCGAGAAGAAGGCTGCCTAGGCCCTGCATTTAGTCATTCTATGTCAAGGCTGGAAAGGCTACACTTTATCTTCGGCCTCTGTTGGCATTTGCTCCTTTTGTTTTTGTCCAGTCCAGCCAACCATAATCTCGCTCGGCTGGTATTGGAAGGGAGTCCGCAACGGGCTTTTGCTCGGAACGAGTGGTACGATAAAGTGGAATCGTATCCCGCTTGTCCTGCGCTTGTGTTCCGTTTGTTCTGATCTTATTTCCCCGCCTTTCACTTGTTGCATATTCCATCATGCCGTGGGCTTCCTTTCTCGCGAATGAATGAGCACCGAATTTTAATAGATCCTTAAAAAGATAAAGCGTTCACCCGATAGAATTTATATAGCAATGTAGGAGTTGTCTCCGTCATTAAATTTTTAAATTTTTTCAGACATGTAATAATAAAGTATGAGACGATAGTCATCTGACTTTATTTTTCGAGATATGCAATCTTCGCCTTTGTATGTGAAAAAAATGAATTTCTTTACGTGAACTCAATGCATGGCAAACTTTTTCACGCTCGTCCACAACACGACGAGTAATTGCCAGCAAGTGACCTTACACGAAGCATATGCTGGAAGATGACCACCACGGTTGGTCTTTGATCCAAATTATCCTGAAAGAAATGAAATTTTTGGACTGAGTCGTACGTGCTACACCATTGTTCATCCAATTTTGGATGTGAGACAAATGCCTGTTAAATGCTTAATTCACTCCATGTAAAATGAAAGAGCTCATCCTGTTATGACCTACTACTAGTCGAGCATAGTGACACCATACGAGGACGGTCAAGATTTGTCTCCAAATGGTTGAACAACGTCATATCATTTACCCGACATTGCTCGACTATAAATAAATGAATAAACCGATTGCGAAACAAAACAAAATGAACGATGATGTCAGAGATAGTTCGTTTGGGCCTTTTGGTACCCATCCCCTCCCATCCCATTCCTTGGCGCAGATCCGGATCGTGGAGTAAGTCATGCAACAGAAGCGAGAGTATGGGAATATTAATAGTGTAGACTTTGTTGGAGGGTGTACAAAGCCCCAGACGAGGAGAGCAGCGGAAGAGCAGGAGGGCCTGGATGGATCGAGCAGCCGGACAACGGAGTCCATTTGACCTCCTGAGGAGCACATACAGGAGCGCAGCAGCACGGCACGGCTCGCCGGGGCTGCAGTACGACAAGAAGCAAGAGTTGCAGATGCTCGGACTCAAGTACCAGGGGGGGACTGTACTTCCATTATACGACCAGTGGAAACAGAGGTGTAAAGATCTAACCACGAAACTTCATACGTTTCTCGAAACGCTCTACGAAGCTTTCACAAAGCATATCTGCTCGATTCTGGAAGTAAAGCCAAATATTTGTTTGTTTGTTTGTTTGTTGCTGGCGATGTTGGTTCGGGGCGTGAATGTGTCAATCAGCCAACCGCCACCGATGGTACATTCAAGGCCACAGACTATTCTCATGGATTTCATCAAACATCAATGTCAACTGAAATTGTAGCTTATAAGTTGCCAGTGGTGGAACTCTGTGCTGGAGAACTATTGGACCTGCAGATTATTATTGATCGATCCATGAGAGTCAGATAGGCCACTCGGTCAATCTCGGTAAAAAAT